GGTGGGGGACAGTTCCCTCCTAAGTCGACCGGCTGCAAGCTTGAGAATTATTTTTAAATTCCATTGGGTTCGTTCATTGGAACTATCTTGATCTGTCCTGGTCTTCTAGACAGGGTGTTCTGAGACATTGCCTCTCTCAGAAATTGTGAAAACTCCAACTCTGGTCCTAAGATTTGGACAAGAACACATAGCTTTGTGGAAATGGTCTCAGCCGCAGGCACTGGGCTCTAGCCTCATCTGAGAGAATAATAAGCTTTCTTGCCCAACACGAAGGATCCTGAATTCTGGAACATGGTTGCACTTTGATGTGTTTGAAAGACAGAATTTGTGTTTCACTTTGAAGTAGTTCTTCTTCCTTTGCAAGCTACAGGATGCCTAAAGGCCAAAGAGAGAAACTTGGTATTAAAAGAAAAGAAAACAAAACAAAACTAAAAACCCGTTAAGTCTCAGGTACTTTCAGAACCAAAGATAAAGATAACAACAGGCTTAGAATATTTTTTTCTTTTCTCTTTCTTATGATATCCAATTTGACTTACATGTTCTTCCATCAGATTTGACTGAATATTAACAAAAGTGTTCAATGTCATCCCGCTTTCTTAATAGAGAAAGATTTCCTGTCTTCGTGATCTGGTCCTCACCTGTGGTTACTTCTCTGTCTCCAGACCCACCAAGTTTAAGGGGCCCTACTGTAGCATGGGGGCTTAGACTATGAGACAATAGTAAAGTTACCAGTATGCCTCCTCTAGGAGATGAGGGACCCCTCTCCCCATAGTTCCCTGTAGCCAGACACTGGATTTATTTATTTGTTTTCGAATAGAATTAAGCCATAACTTAATAACAGGTAAGAATCTAGATGTACCTTTGACTTTCAGTCCCCAGAAAAGCATGTGATAGAATTTTATTGATTCATTGTGCTAGTTATTGTTTATCTAAAGCTCCTTTTCCCTTCCTGCTAAAGTAGTGAAAATCCTATTAAAAGAAGATGAGCATAAAGCAGGTAATAATGACTGTTTGCCTACATGCAACATATATCACACACATTTTAACATACTTTGTTCCATTTTTATTAATACTTTTTCTGTATACATAATTCAGGTTATATGAAACAGGTTTATAACCTGTTGGTGATTCTTAATTAAGCTATTTTATGATAGGTTATTTCAAAATTATTTTATTCCTTTAACAGCCTCTCAAACTTGGTAGGCAGGAAATACAAATGGTATTCTATTTTACAAATAAAAAATGGAATTTGAGTGAATATATTAAGCAAATGTTCATTGATGACCTTCTGTGTCTCAAGTGCTCTGAGGTCATCCTGCTAAATGCTGGGAACACATGACTCATTCATAAAACCTGCTAGTCTCACACCTTCAAGCTCCCATCTTCTCCAAAGCTACACCAGTTATAGCAGCTGCTTATGGAGAGGAGATTGCAGTGGTATCTGAGGCAAGTTAGAGCCAAGTGATGGGAATGAGCAAGGCCAGCTGCAGCTTATGGTCCTGGTCCCAGGCAGTAGGGCAGGAAGTCAGGTCCCATAAGTGCCCCAGAGACTAATTCTGAGTCAAAGGCCCTGGAGATCACTTCTAGTACAGCTTTGTATAAATCCTGGAGACAAGGAGGAACATTAGTTGTGATGAATATAACTTACTAGTGTATTATAATAATGCATGATATGTTTATACCTTCATATCAAGGGAGACAGGTGTTGGGAATGATTAGTGGAACCTCTACAACATTTCTGTTATTCTAAAACTATTCTAAAGTAACAGTGGTTTTTGAAGATGAGTCATAATTTATCAGACCCAGAAGGAGAGAAATAGCATCCTGGGCAGAAATAATTGAACATAAGGTTCAGGAGGGCACATGTTGAGCGTGGGAAAGAGTAGAATTCCTGGGATTAGAGTATACACGGCTATCTAAACTGAGTGAGCTGAAAGTCAGAGTAGACTTGGGGCTGGGAAAGCTGTTGTTTTGGGTCAGACTTATGAATATTTGGAGTTACTCTGTAGGAATGATAATTTATATACTTTGTGTTTTGAAATACTTTAAAATTGTATTTTATGCATATAAGTATTTTGGCTTGCATGTATATCTGTGTACCATATACATGCCTGGCACCCATGGAATCTGGAAGAAGGCATTGGATCCCCTGGAACTGGAGTTAAGGATGGTTGTGACTACCATGTGGGTGCTGGAAACTGAACCCTGGTTGATTACCAAAGCAATGTGTTCTTCACCACTGGGCCATCTCTCTAGGCCTGGTTAATTTATTTGAAAGGTATGTTCCAACACACAGAAGATGGACTGGAGGAGAGCTGGTAGTAATGAGACTGATAAGGAAACTGTTGTAATGGTTGGGGCAGAGTTGTGTTGCCCAGAGCCTTGTTGTGGGTTGAAGCAAAGCATTCAGGGAGAAGGCTTGAAAGATAGAGCTCTTCTACAAGTGAACTGAGTCCTAAGTAGGCCAGTTCTTTATTCCATGCTCCTGTTTGTTTTTACTCCCAAATCTCACACCCAAGTGCAATCTCAATACAAATACAGCCTGGCTGATGAAGGCTAGGCAGAGTTCTACACCAGGTGCTCAATCAAGCCAAGGTATCAAAGTGCTAAGATGCCCCTCCCTGTGCCAAGGATACTTGGTAGCTGCTGCAAAAATCCAATCACAACATAGGCTAGAATATCCAGTTGACACATCCTATGTCAAGATTGCCTTCATCCTAACTCTGAGTCATTGTGATGGTAAAAGACACCTCCAAACACCACCCACACCCAGAAACATGGACCACACATCAGGGACTAGGCATCTCCAGAGCCAGCTAAACAGTTACTGGATGCAGATACAGATAGCCAAACGCACACCTGTTCCTGGCCCTTAGATCCAATCTGTAGCACACAAAGGAAACAGGAAACCAAGCCTTTGACTGAGTTTTTACTTTTGTCTTTTCAAGAATTTTATTTTGTTTGTTAAAGATTGTGTTTATTTTTAATGATGTGTATGTATGAGTGTTTTGTCTCATGCGTGTGAGTGAGGCTGATGAGGCTGATGAGGACATTGGATCTCCTAGAGCTGGAGTTATAGACAGTTGTGAGCAGCCATGTAAGTTCTGAGAATGGAAACTGGGTCCTCTGCAATAGCAGCATGTGCTCTTAACTGCTGAGCCATCGCTTCAGCCCCGGCCCTAATTTTTAGTCAGCTCCATGAATCTACTGAGTCTGGGTACTATTTTTTTTTTTTTGGAACCACGGTGGGAAATAACCACATTATTTCCTTCTCTTTGTTTCAGTTCTCAGAGAATGGTACCATTAAACATCTTTGGTGTCTTTGATTAGAATTCTGGTAATCTCAATTTGCTCTTCACTCCAGTGTGCTGTAAGTTAATTAGCAGTGATGTGGGGCTCTATAGAATACATGGCCATGCTCTAAATTAAATTATTTATTCTCTACTGACATACATCCTATTATTTAAGATGGAATTGATATTAGTATATGTTGGGTCCAAAGTGACAATAAGAAACACCAGACGTCTTTAGTCTTTTAGTCTTAATACGGGCTTCTATATCTCATTTTGGTGGTTTTTGTTTTAGGTCTCAGAATTGTTGTATCTCTCAGGTAGAATGCTTTCTCACCTTCTAGAAATGTGGCTTCTTAGGTTTGAGTGTCAGAACTACAGAGAATTCTGGGAGAGTAGAAATATCCTAAGTGCAGCTTTGGCAGCTCCTTTAGGGCCCCAGAAGTACATGTCCAGAGGAACACATCTGGAGTTAAACAGATACCTTATACTTCTTCCATAATGAAGAGTGGGTACTGTCTAGAGCTGTTTGATGCATGAACCCCTTGCTATATAAATGGAGCTCAATGGAGCACCAGCACCAGCACCAGCAGCATCTTGGAGCTTGTTAGATATGGATAAACTCATCAGAAAATACCTAGAAAAGCCATGTGACTTGCACATATCTATAGTTTGAGAACTACCAATTTGATTTATAGCAGTGGCACATAATCCTTGCTGAATGTTAGAATCACCAAGAGAACTAACATATCCGTATCTTGTCCACTACCAGCCAATTCAATCAGAATCTCCATAGATGGAGCAAAGTTTGAGTATATTCAAAAAAGTTTCCACAAAAGAGCCCAAGACACAGCTAAGCCAGTGGCTTGGGGTGCATTAATATTCCTCATGACCAGACCTCAAGGTTCTGATTTATTTGGCTCAAGAAATGTCTATTGTCTCTCTGCAATTAATAATTGAGGTTCATTGACAGCACAAGGGTTTGGTCATTGTTGCTAAGATCTTGTAGCCATGTAGGAAGGAAAAATGACTCTTGAACATTTTGTCTTCTCTACTGCTCAAAGCCAGAGTCCTCTCCACCCCCTTAGCAAACACATCAGGGATGCGACAGACTATCGGATACAGCCTGAAGCCTCATAAAGATTCTGGCAGATAGCAAGCATATCTACTCGGCTACCAGCTTCTACTTACCTATCATAGAAAGTTATTGAGGTTGTACCACAACAAAAACAGGGAGAGAGAACTTAGCCCTTGGTGTTGTAGGTCCCAGGGTGCTTGACTAGCCTTATACTTGTGTCTTTGTTAATTACATTATTATTCTACCTCAATTCAACTAGTTGTAGTGCCATCAAAGGGAAGGTTAAAGGCACAGGTAGGGAAGAGAAGACTTTGTGGAATGCACAGTGACATCACTTTCAGAGAGGACAGAATAAAATTAGACATAAACATTCATTCCAGAGGCAAAATCCTCCAAATTGGCTTTATTTTAGGGATTTTAGAGCTCTGGGCCTCCAAGTGAGATGATGGAGGAAGTGAAACTTTCTGTTTGATGCACCTCTGTCCTTTTATGGTTTGGAGAGGCCTCTAGGTCTCCAAGAGGCCCAGGCTGTTGCTGTCTGCCTGTGTGATTCAAGATTCTGGTTTATCAGGGGCCTCTAAGGTGTATACCAGATTCTTCCATCCCTTACTCTTCCCTATTTCTCTCCACAGCTGGCAACCTGGGACTCGGAGAAGGGCTTGAATGGCAGTCTGCAGGAGAGGCCCATGGGCAGCCGCCTCCAAGGACTGACTCTCAAAGTGGTGACTGTCTTGGTAGGATCATGGGGATGCCCTGGGACCTTCATTTTCCAGGTCTCTGATTCAGAGGCTGCTCTCTGTTAATGCAGGGTTGAGGAGGGGATGTTGAGGGGCCACGTGAGTTCTCAGGAGTCCTCTCCTTCAGATAATTATGTGGCACAACCTAAGGGAGAGTGAGATGGAAGAGTCTCTCCAAGGACTTCTGGGACTACTAGAGGAGATCTCCAGGGTGCAGTGTAGGAGGACCACTCATGGCAACTGCTGCTGGGCTCCTACTGGGATCCTACCTGGATCTTGACCTACTGCTCCTCTTTGGAGAACAATGTGGATAGCCAGCTTTCCCAGAAAGATGCTTGGGGGAGGAAATTCTCCTAGTGGCTAACATTGCTGAGGGTAAATGTGATAATAAGTGTGCAGTGAAGAAATGTTAATTAGTTATATTTTTCTACATAGTTTTCCTGGAATCATAGACTGTTGCAATAGTAAGACTCATTAATATTTTTTAAATTTACTTTTCCTTTTAGAAGAACTTAAAATTTTCTAATTTGGGGGTAGCCCAGACATGGCTCAACTTTTTCATTCCCTCCCAGAAAACTCAGAAGCCTTTGCCTGCAACATTTCTGCTTTCCCTAAATGCATAATATGAATGAGCCTTAAATCCTGTTTCCTTTCTTCCTTTCTTCCTTTCTTCCTTTCTTCCTTTCTTCCTTTCTTCCTTTCTTCCTTTCTTCCTTTCTTCCTTTCTTCCTTTCTTCCTTTCTTCCTTCCTTCCTTCCTTCCTTCCTTCCTTCCTTCCTTCCTTCCTTCCTTCCTTCCTTCCTTCCTTTTTTTTCTTTTCTTTTG